AGCTGAATCCCCAGCCCCGACTTCAAGCCTTTTTAAAAGAGTTCCCAACTCTTTTAGAATAAAATCAACTCAAGCTCCAGGCCCACAAGGATGCCATAGTCTGGTATCCAGCCTTTCTGGTCCCTGTCAGCCTCTCTCTCTCTCTCTCTCTGTCTCTCTCTCTCTCTCTCTGTGTGTTTTTCTCTCTCACTTTGTATCTGTCTCTCTTTCCTGTGGTACAATTATCCTCATTTACTCTAACACTAACCATTTTCCTTCTAACCCCAGGACTTTTGCACATGCAGTTCTTTCGCCTGATATTGGACTCATTTCTATAAGATGAATACAAAGTGTCAAGATTGTGGCTCTCTCAACTTCCCTTGCAAGGAGGGTGCAGACATATAACTGAGCTCCTCTAATTAGATGTATACACTGCCAACTGAAATTGAGGCCCAAGACAGGAAGCAGCAGGGACCTCCTGGACCCCACCCAGCAGATGCAGTGTCACTTATTTCCCAAAGAGCAGAAGCACCTGTGGTTCTTGAGGCTGCATCCTGAGCCCTGCAGCACTTGTGTCCAGGCATGGGTGACAGCTACAGGGAACTCAGCACTGGGGGGTGGGATGGTGGCACATGCTTGTGACTCTGCAAAGCCCAGAGCCTGGCTCTCAACCCTCTCCACACATGTGTGGGTGCCCTCCAGCCGACACCTGCTCCGCTTCCCCCAGACAGCCTGTCTGTGGGGTGGGCCACCAGGGGCTTGCGGAGCCAGGGCTCCACAGCTGCCACCTGACCTCCGGGGCCATAGGCGCCCTATCCCCCAGCTCGGGAACCCCACTGCTCTTGGTTTGAGTCTTAGGACGCGGGCAGCTCTTCACAAAGCTCTCTGCTGCCCCTTCCAGTCGTCCTGCCTGTGTGTTGGAGTGTATTACCCATGGGACGGATGGCAGGACCTCAAGTCCTACCCAACAATGCCGCCCTACGTGGCTTTCATGCCATTTACTAAGATAATGCTTCTTAGAAGGATGGGCTTGGGATAGACTTCATACTAAAGGGCGGCCATAGTTTTGTCACCCATTGTTAGGCAATGAATTATCCCCAGTGGCTTAGCTGGGAAGTTCTGGTGTGGATGCACCCTGAGACCATGCTCATCAGTGAAATAAACCAAACACACAAGTTAAACATCGCATTGTCTCCCCAGTGTAAGAAGCTGAAAGAAACTGTATATGTAGATGTATATGTAGTTAAGATAGTTATACTACAATTTCTCTGAGATCACTAGAGAGAAAGGTTTGTGCTGGTGTCACTTGGATGACTGAATGCGATGTCTCGTGCCCTGGGTGAGTGACTTGGGGACAGTAATGACTGACGTGCTTTGAAATTCTGTTTTATTTTTTTCTCTTTGAAATGAAATGGGTTTTGGGGGAAAAAGAAACAAACGAAACCCCCTCAAAGTGTCCTGTGGGGCTGCAGTGTCTGGGGGCAGACTGGGGCTGGCAGGTCCCTTCTCTGCGGAGCTGCTCTGACAAGGCTGTCCCACAAGAATGATCTGCAGCGGGGGCCAGGATGGAGAGAAGTTAGGGTGCATTGCTCTGAAAGAGGGGTGCAATAATTGGGGCACCCACTTTTCCTTTTGTTTTTTTGAGACAAGGTCTCACTATGTGGTCCAGGCTGGTCATAAACTAACTATGGAGTCCAGGCTGGTCTCAAACTTGAGGTGATCCTCCTGCCTCAGCCTCAACCTCCCCAGTCCTGGGATGACAAGTGGGTGTCACCACACCCAGTGTGTAAAATCATCTTTGTAGACACAACAGATAACTGCATCGGTGCCATGAAAAGATGGGCTGAGAGGAGAGAGTATCTGAGGCAGAAGCCCAGCTAGGAGCGCTGGTCAAGTCCAGCCCAAGGGGTCCTGTAGGATTTATGTCTTGCTGTACCTTCAGCCATATGCCACCAGCCCAACCCTCCTCCTGACAGCATCCCACACTCAGGATCCTGGGCAGCAGCAGGGGCAGCAGCCATGGAAGGAAGGGCAGCAGTAGGTGAGCTTCCTGCTTGTCAGAGGCTGCCATGCTGGCTGGCCGAAGCCCAGAGAGAGACTTCAGGGGGCACCCAGGGGCAGAGGGAGAGATGGAGCCGTGATCAGGGAACCCCAGATTCGGTATACGAACTCTGCCTGACTCTGTGGCTCACCCCAGAGCTATGCGTGTACAGGGAGGATGCCAGGAAAGGACGAGAACAGAGTTCACGCTCAGCACGAGGAAACAGAGTTTGCAGTCTGCGTTTAGCTAAGTGAACTGCCTGGCAAACAGCAATAACAGCAACAGCAACAACAGCAACAACAGCCTCCCTAGAGACTGTGGCACAAAGCAAACACCGGAGCTGCTAGAACTCATTAGTGACAATGTTTAGGGTATAAAAGTAAATTAGAAAGAAAAGAAAGTTACTAAAAGAAAATGTCTTGATATTGAAAAAATTTTCAAAGCAAACTGATTGTGGATGATCCTGACAGTATAATTTGTAATGATTTAAAATATGCTTAAGGACATAAATCATAGTCATAATGAACTTTTAAAAAGAAATATGTCAGCCAGATGTAGTCCTGACACTTTGGAGGCTGAAGCAGAAGGATCACCAGAAGTTCGAGGCCAGTCTTCTGGGCTACATAGTGAGCTCAAGGCCAGCCTCAACTATGTAATGAGACATATTACTTCTCAAAACAAGACAAAAAACCGCAGTAAATATTTAAGACAGAAAAAAAGCTATTGAAAACAATCGTTTATAAATTCTATAACTTATAAAATTCAATGTCAAACTGAAAACTTTACTGGATGGTCTTAGTAGTAAATTGTAGATGATGGAAGAAAGAATCAGAAACCTAAAGGTAGATAAATAGATGCGACCCATTCTGAAAAATCAAGAAGGCAAAATACTTTTCAAAAACTGAAGATAAGAGAATTTCAGTGAGCTGTGAGACAACACAGAAAGATCTAGTAAGTGTGGTTTGTGGAATCCTAGGAGAGAGGAAAGAGGAGAGAGAGTGGGGAGGGAAACCTACTTGTAGAAGCAATGAGTGAGATTTCCAAAATTTGGAGAAACACAGCTTACAAATTCAAAAGCCTCAGTAAACCCCAAGGAAGACAAATACAAAGGAAAACCACACAAAGGTGCCCTGCAGTGCTGCAACTCACACAGTGCAGGAACTTCCTGAGTGAGGACCTGAAGGGAAGCCGGAAGGTGAAGAAAAGAAGACGAGCCAGAAAGCGGGGGTCAGGCGGAGCCCTCCCTCCTGGCAGGCGGCAAGGAAATGCTCCGCTGCCCTAGCACGTTTAATTTATACACTTAGCAAGATAAAGTCATGGGCTACCCCTTTGCTTAGCAACCCATTCCTTGGATTGTCTCAGGGCTTGGTGCTCAGAACTCTGTGTCTACATCCAAAAAAAAACATCCTTCTTTTAAAAAAGCAGGGTACGGGATTTAGCTCAGCAGCATAAGCATCTGCCTGGCAAGTGTGAAGTCGTGAGTTTCATCCCCGATAAAAAAAGCAGGCTAAAACGAGGACAGTTTGAGACAGAGGGAACTAAGAGAACTCATTAACCAACTTCCACTAAGAGAAATGCTAAAGGAGGAAGTCTTTCAATCTGAAGAAAAGGATGGAAATGGACCAGAAATGGTAAATAAATATGTGGGTAAATATTAAAGGACATTTATTTGCTCTTAACGTCTTTATAATCCATATGATAGTTTAAAGTAAAAATGGTAATAGTGTACCATAGTGTATTCATAACATGTATAGGTATACAACATGTTGCGCCTATAGCATAATGGATGGGGTGTAGTGGGAATAAACCTATATGGTGCAAAGGTTCGTATATTTATGTGACGTGGCGCAACATGACTCATAAGTAGACAGCAAAAAACAAAGGTATGTTTTATATCTGGATCAACTATGATAACAAAAAAGGACGTCACTAAAATGGCAATATAAATTAACACGGAATTATAAAAAGTTTGTTAACACAGGCACAGAGGGAGCACAGAAACAAAATTAGAGGAGACAGTAAAAGAACAGACCTACATCTGACCATATCGAACTACATAATAATAGGATAAACACTCCATTTACTAGGTGGCGGCTGTCAGAATGCATGAAAAACCAAGACAGGGAAGACTCGGGGAAAGGAATAGACATTTCTCCGTGCTATTTCCAAGTGACTCAGTTGAAATAGAAAAGGCTCACTTGGGGGTAGCAGTACGCTGCACAAAGATCCACCATGAAAAGGTTAAGTAAAGTGGGATTAACAGCAGAAATGGGCAAAGAGCAGCACCAGAGATCAAAGTTAATGGTGGGGACTAATTAATCTGGAAATCATAAAATTCTTACATATGTTTCAAGCACAGAGCTTCAAAATATATGAAATAAAAATTTCTAAAATATTACAAAGGGATTCAATTACTTACTCTCCCAATCCTACTGTCTCTGTTGTAAACTTTTTAAATTTAAAATTAATTAACTAATCAATCTTTTTTTTTTCTGTACTGGGCATTCACTCCCACGTTCTTTTCGCTGAGTTCCATCCCTTTTTAGTTTTTATTTGGATGCACCACCACAATTGGCCTTTTTTTCTTTTCTTTTTTAAAATTCTCCTAGTGGGGGTTGGGTTCAGGTCCTCTGCGCTATGGTACAACGCCACGCCACTAAAAAAATTTGTTTTTGTTTTGAGAAAGGGTCATGCTGTGCCTTAAAGTAGCTGTGGCTGGGCTCGAACTAGTGGTTTTCTGGCTTCTTTCTGCCTCAGACTCCCAAGCGAGCTAAGGCTGGAGCCGCTCTGTCCGCTGATAGGCCATTTATTGAACGGGACCACCCACGGTGCCGAATGTTCACGAAGGCGTGGAATATCGAGTGAAGCCCTCAGTGCGCAGGCGCGGCCCTCGACCTCCCGCTGCCCCGCCCCCTCACGTGCCCCGTGCAGAAGTTTCCAGAAGGTTCTCGCGGTTGTGGGGGCGTGTGGGAGCGCGGTGGTTTCTGGGAGTGCACGAGGCGCCAGGTGCTGTCGAAGGACTGCTGGTGGCGAGCTGCAGACGCTCCTTGCGCCCTTAGCACCTTTGGCACCTTCCGTGAAGGAACGAGCCGGGCCTCCAGGCAGAGAGAGTGAGTGGCCCCGGTGGGGCGAGGGCTCCTCATGGTGGCCGAGCCGGAGGCAGCGGAGCGGGCAGGGGGCGCGGGCCCGGGGCCAGAGAGGGGCGAGGGATAGGAAGGGCAGCCCTGAGGCCGTGCCGGCCCCTCAGGCGGGAGGTGGCGGCGGGCATGGGGGCTCGTGAGCACGGAGCCACCGGGGTGAGACAGGCCAGTGGGCCCTGAGGTGGCCATGAGCGCCTGCGGCGGGCGACCTGGGAGGCGGCGTCGCCCTGTGTGGTGGCGGAGGGCGGCCTCAGGCCCCTGGGCAGCCTTAGTGGGAATGAGGCGGGCGACACCGGCGGCGGGCCGGGCCGGGCGGCGGCAGCTGAGGACGGGCGCGGCGGACAGCCGAGGGCGGCCTGGACGGCGGCAGGCGGAAAGCGCGAGCGAAGGGCGCGCGGGGCTGAGGGGCGACGCAGGCGGGGGTTCGCTTGCGGCCCGGGACGGCCGCGGACGGGAAGGGGTTGACGCGGGATGGCGTCGGGACAGCACGGCCGCGCGCTCCCTCCCACAGGTGGCGGCGGGAGGGGCGGCGCGCTCCGGCTGTCGCCGCGCCTGGCCGTCGGCTTGGCCATGGCGGCGCCCGGACCCGAGGCGGCGGCCGAGGCTCGGGGCTCCGGGCGTGGCGCGAAGCAGTGCCCTGCCCCGCGAGCCCTGCTGAGGGACGCGGCGCAGGAGGGGCGGCGGGCGTCCCTGAGAGCCAGGGCCGAGCCAGCGAGAGAGGCTGCGAGCGGGAGGGACGGCACGGGGTGCCACGGCGCTGGCCTGGAGCGCAGCGGCCGAGGGGCTGGGGAGGGCCGGTGGCGCCCCATTGTGGGAATCAGTGGTGGCAGGTCGCTGCTGCGTGGCGGGAAAAGAGGCAGCGCGCCACCTGCCTGCGCCGCGTCTGACATGGTGGCGCGGTGAGGGTGGCGGTGGCGTGGGGGATGGGAGGTCCTGGGCGGGATGGGAACGCGGTGGCTATCTGACTGGAGGTGGCGGGCGGGAAAGGTCACCAAGAACCTTGGCCCTCGGGGGTCATCCCTTGGGCAGGGCATCCGCTTTGAGCCCTCGAAGGGAAGCGGGAGAGCTGCACGTGCAGGTGGAGGTGGCGAGGTGTGGGCTGGCGGGCGTCGGAGTGGAGGCTGCTGACTTCGGAGGCGCTGGCTGGGGTGTGGGCCTCGAGTGGCGGGGGGGGGGGAGGCAGCAAGCTTGTGCTACGTGCTGTGTAGAGGCATTGGCCTTGGGGGTGGCAGGCGGTCAGGCAGCGCTTGGCTGTGTGTGTGCGCACGCGCGCATGCGCGAGAGGCGGGGCGGTATGAAGGGGCGGGGCGAGGGCGGGGCTAGGCGAGGGGCGGGGCTAGGCGAGGGGCGGGGCTAGGCGAGGGGGCGGGGCTGGATGAGGGGCGGGGCGGGGTGGGCGGGGCTGCTGACTCGAGAGGTGACTGGGTGGGTAGGCCGTTCAAGCTTTGTATTTAGGAGTCAAGCTTAGCTTGGAAGAGGGGAGACAAACTGGTGGGAGGGCTCTGAGTGCGAGAGTGGGGTTAAGAAGTGAGGTAGAGCACGGAGGGAGGTGGCAAACCTGTGCCTAGGACATTGGACTTGGAGACAGGAAGGCGGGCAGGGAGTGCTGGGCTTGGAAGGAGGACGAGCCCTGAGCCGGCTGGTGGGCAGGTCTCCTGTCCAAAGGGAGGCCTAACTTGTAAGCCTGTTGGAGTGTTGGAACAGAGGGTGCTGTAGCTAAGCTAACAGTATATGGCTACTGGCTGCAGGTTGTGGAGCCAGAGAAGGGAGGACTGCTCTGTGTGGGAAGCCCACACCAGAAAGCTAGTATCTGCTGTGCATGTGGGGGCAACCTCCTTGATAGCTGCATGTGTGGCTGTGTGCTGCCAAGCAGCTGGCTCTGAGTGGCCTAGGAGGGAGATGGGTATATTGCCTAGATAGACCACATGTTGGGCCATAAAGTCGTTTTAAACTGAGTACAGTGGGGTGTGCACCTGTAGCCCCAGCTACCCAGGAGGCTAAGGCAGGAGAGTTGCTTTGGCCCACAGTTTTGAGAGACTAGCCTGGACAATTTTGTGAGACCCTGTCTCAATAATATAAAAAGTAGAAAATGCCTGGGGATATAGCTCAGGGTAAAGGCCAAGGATTCAGTCCTCAGTTACCCCAAACATGTTTATAAATTTGAAATGATTGTATTTAATAAGTTCTGATCACACTAGAATTCTATTTGAAATTAATAACATCACTAAATAATTTGAAGTCCTTAGGTCAGAGAAATCAGAATAGAATTTAGAAAGTATTTGAAACTCAACATCATAATTTCAAAAAGTACAACTTACTAAAATTATGAGGCAGTTAAACTGGAGAACATTTTATTGCCTTAAATGCTTATGTTAGAGAAGGTAAAAGAGTAAATAAATTAAAATTTAAATGAAGAAAGGATAGAAATAAAAGAGGCAGTGATAACTACAAAGACATGTAACAGGTTTATTTAGAGTAATAAAATTGGTAAATGCTAATAATAATCAAGGAAAAAAGTATTAATAACCAACACCAGGTAGGGAAGAAGGGATATTGTTATGTCATACAGACAATGAAAAACAGGAAATTTTAAGTACACATTTATGCAAAAATGTCAAAAACTTAAGACAATTTCAAATTTTGGGAGGAACAACTTACTGAAACTGCCACCACATGAAATAAAAAGTCTAGCTAGCCCTATAAATCTCGTTATCAAAAACTTTCTTAAACAACACAGGGAAGAGGATGAACTCCTGGCCCCTAGGCTGTTCAGGCAGATATCTGGGGAGCTATGCTGTCTGGCACTAACAGATGTAATCTCTCTTCCTTTTCCACCCACAGGCTGCACCTGAGACTGTGACAGCTAGTATTTTGTGCAGTCATGTTTCCTTCACCCAGCACCCCTGCTATGGGGCTGTCCATGCTACGCGACTGGTGCAGGTGGATGGGCGTGAATGCGCAGCGCTGCCTGCTCATCATGGGCATCCCTGATGACTGTGAGGAAGATGAGTTTCAAGAGAGAGTGCAGGCTGCGCTGAGACCCCTGGGCAGATACCGAGTGCTCTGCAGGGTCTTCAGAAAGGAGCTTGGAGCCAGGGTAGCTTTGGTGGAGTTTGCTGAGTATTTAAACCGAAATTTGATCCCCCACCAAATACCAGGCAGTGGGGAGCCCTGGAGGGTGATCTTCCTGCCCCAGGTCCCTGATTCTGAGTTACAAGATCCTGCACAGCTCCAGGGGCAAGCAGTAGAGGAAAGCATGCTCAAAGGAGGAGCTGCAGCTGAGGGAGAAGCTGCAGGAACTTCAGGTGAGGCAGGAGCTGCAGGTGAGGCAGGAACTGCAGGAGCTGCAGGAGTTTCAGATGTGGAAGGAGCTGCAGGTGAGGCAGGAGATTCAGGAGTTTCAGATGCGGAAGGAGCTGCAGGTGATACAGGAGCTCCTGGTGAGGAAACAGCTACAGGTGAGGGAAGAGCTTCTGATGAGGAAGGATCTGTAGATGACAAAGAAGCTTCAGGAGGAGAAAGTGAGGCAGAGCCTGCAGATGGGGAAGGAGCTGAGCTTGAGCCAGAAGCTGCAGGTGTGGCAGGGGAAGCAGATGAGCCGGGAGCTGTTGGAGAGCCAGGAGTAGCAGGTGAGGCAGGAGCTGTGAGCGAGGCAGGAGCTGCAGGTGAGCCAGGAGCAGCAGGGGCTGCAGGTGAGGTAGGAGCAGCAGATGTAGCAGGAGCTGTAGGTGAGGGAGGAGCAGCAGGAGACGCAGGTGAGGCAGGAGCGGCAGGAGCTGAAGTTGAGGCAGGAGCTGCAGGAGAACCAGGACCAGTAGGGCTTGCAGGAGAGGCAGGAGCAGTAGGGGCTGCAGGTGAGGCTGGAGATGCAGGTGTGGCAGGAGCTGCAGGCGAGATAGGAGCTGCAGGTGGGGCAGGAGCTGCAGCTGAAGCAGGAGCTGCAGCTGAAGCAGGAGCTGCAGGTGAGCCAGGAGCAGCAGGGCTTGCAGGTGAGGAAGGAATAGGTATGGCAGGAGCTGTAGGTGAGGCAGGAGATGCAGGTATGGCGGGAGATGCAGGAATGGCAGCAGCTGCAGGTGAGGCAGGAGCTGCAGGTGAGGTAGGAGATGCAGGTGAGCCAGGAGCAGGAGGAGCTGCAGATGGAGAAGGAGCACCAGATATGGCAGGAGCTGCTGGTGTGGCAGGAGCTGCAGGTGAAGCAGGGGCTGTAGGTGAGGCAGGAGATGCAGGTGAGGCAGGAGATGCAGATGAGGCAAGAGCATCAGATGAGGAAGGAGCTGCAGGTGACACAGGAGTTGAAGGTGCTATAGGAGTTGTGGGTATGGCAGGAGCTGCAGGTGAGGCAGGACCTCCAGGAGAAGAAGGGGCCTGGGATGTGGCCGCAGCGACCCATCATAGAGCCGGAGCCCAGCAGTGGGAGCAGGCCCTGCAGCCCGTCATGGAAAACATGGCATACCAGGAACTGAGAGCCTTTTCCGGGATGGAGGAGCTGGATCCTGAGGAAGAGTCCTTCGAGAGCTGGCTGAACCATGCCAACGACATGCTGTACTTGTGGCGCCATGTAGCAGAGAGGGAGAGGCGGAGGAGGCTGGTGGAGTGCTTGGATGGCCCTGCCCTGGATGTCATTTGTGAGCTCCTGAAAGCGCACCCGGAAATCCCTGCACAGGATTGCCTGGCGGCACTGGTGCAGGTGTTTGGAAATAAGGACATCCGGGTAGCTGCACGGCTGAAGTTCCTCATCTGCTCACAGTGGCCTGAAGAGACTCTCATAGCCTACGTGACGCGCCTGGAAGGTCTCCTGCAGGCGGCCGTGGAGAAGGGGGCCATCCACCCTGCCACCGCAGACCAGATGCGTGCCCGGCAGGTGCTGATGCGGGCCAGGCCGAACTGGACTCTCCAGAAAAGGCTGAGAAGGATGCGCCTGGAGAGGCGCCCCCCTGGCTTCCAGGCTCTGCTCCAGCTGGTGCGTGAGACCGAGGCCTGGGAGGCTGCCTTCGCCAAGAGCAAGCCTTTGGGAGATGGGGCTGCCGAGGCCGGGCCTTCGTACAGAGATGCTGCTGGGCCTGCCCCTGTCCTGGAAGAAGCTTCGCAGGTCTCCCCTGCCCAGGAAGAGGCCAGGGGCAAGGCGGCTTCTGATCCTGAGTGTGCTGCTGAGGCAGCTTCTGATACCGATGATGCCCCAAAGGCAACCACTCAGAAAGAGGAAGGTGCTCTTGGTCTTGCAGGCCTAGGCCAGGCAGGGCCCTTTGATGCCCTTGGGGTTTCCACTTCAGCCCCGATGAGCACTGCTTTTGGGTCAGGCCAAGGAGGATCTGGCTGTGGGCCAGAGAGCCTCGCCCAGGCAGGAGAGGTGGAGGCCGAGGAGCCTATGCTGGGGGCACCCAAGGGTGTCCTGGAGGAGTTGGAAGAGGAAGAGGGAGCTGGGGAGACCAGCCATCCCAAGTCTTCCCCAAGAGAATAGCTCCTCCACTCAGGTGGCAGGGCCCTGGGCTCAGAGGGAGGCAAGGCCAGGGCCATTACATCATCCTGCACCTGGAGCAGGTCCCAGAGAGAGGCTTGACCAGCCTCAACCAAACTCCCACATCTTTCCTCTTCCAAGTGACCCAAGTGATCATGGGTACACTAGGGAGAAGAGGCCATCTCACGTGTGCCAGTTGCCTGGCTCTCTCACTGGGGCGAGTGCCCCATTACTCCTCCATTTATTGTTCCTGTCCCTGGCATAAATTGCTTCCTGTCCGGGAAGCCCACTCATGTTGGTAGGCCCTGTAGTGACCCATGGTGCAGGTAAACGCTCACCCCAACCTGGCCGCTGTTCTTGGGCAAAGCTGTGAGGTGGGCATCAACCCTGCACGGAGGAGAGGGCCTGGCCCTACCGGGGCACCCAGCCATCCACCTGCAGGCCTGGGCATGTGTGGTGAGCTTCCTTCTGAGCCTGCCGAGCCTCTGACCGCTCCTGTCCGGTGCTGTGAGGTCAACCTCTGCTTTCTATGACTGTATCCGGGCCTGCTACCTGCCCCTTGTCCTCGAGGAGTTGTTTGTGTTCTCATTGGAACAGGTCCTGTCTGGAGACCCCAAGCTTCGTCCCAGTGGGAGAGAAGGATGGACGACGATGGAGTCACCTTGTGACTGTGACTGTGACCATGAGTGGGATGACAACTTTGGACAAGAAGAACTGGACAAGGGATGGAGGGACAAGGCTGGGGACTTTGCTTTGACATTCTTCCCATGTTGTTATTTGTGATTTAATTCTTTGGTGTGGTGGGGCATTTTTTGCTGCGCTTTCTGGTGTCTTGGGGTTATTTGTACTGGCCATTGGGTAGGCCCTCTCCACAGTGGGTCAGCCCTGTAGAGAAGTCCCTGAAGTGAATGGATTTTGTCAGAGGTCATTGTGCTGGCCAGAGGTAGATCCAGGACCCTCAGGGAGAGACAACATAGCTGGAGAGCCTTGGCATGGGGAATGGATGAGACACCTGTAGTGGTCGTAAGGAGGTCTGTCTGTGGTGACATCCCTGTTTCAATGGTTTCAGTGTTTTTCTTCAATAAATTTCATTAAATGTTGTAACAGCTTTGCCTCTGCTATGGAAACTCAAGGGAGGGGTCACTTGGAGCTAGGATGGGGTTGAAAGAGCAGAAAGACATTCCTGCTGAGCACCTATGGGAGACATCCTGAATGAGAGGGTAAGTGCTCTGTCAAGGAGGCTAGGACTCCAGGAGGGCTTAAAAATAATTCAAAGATGGATGATAGTTTTGAAATTGCACTGATCTTTGAATTGAGGTGGGCTTGTATGCCGGGGGTTTTTGAATACCCGGGGAGTGATGTCATGTCTCTTTAGTTGGGGAAGACACTTCTCTTACCAGGTATCTGGGGCTCAGGACTGCTTGAGTGAGTAATGTGTGTGATAGGTGCAACAATGTGTGTCGATTGTGCAACAATCGACAGTTCACCCACCCTTGGCAAGAAAGCCAATCTTGCAGTGACTAGGTTTATATGTTTTTTTTTTTGTTCTAAAACTTGAAAATCTCTGCCTTTCATGACAATGACAATTTAGCACCTGTGACCCTCTTGGCATTTGTGGGCCTTCTGAGAGGACAGACATAATCATGTCCATATAACCTCCTCCAGCAGACTGACTTGTTCCTGCAGAGGAGACCATGCCAGTCAAAGAAGGGTCTTTAGGCACTGAGGCAGTGTTCTCTGAAGGGGGAAACTGAGGCCAGGAGTGAAGATTGCATGTGTTTCAGTTTGTTAAAAATTTAAAATCAGTTTTAATAAATTTTGAGTATTCACGAATGGGACAGCTTTCAAAACAAGAAGCTCAGAGCCCTTTGCTTTAGCAACGTAAGCAGTGAGCTTTTTATAAGTTAAATGTGCAAACTGAAGAGACTACTTGATTGGCCACAGCTAGGCACTTGCCTTCTGAGGGTAGGGCTGGGTGGAAAGACCCTAGTGGGTGTTAGTGTTCTCCAATTGGCTAAGCTTATATTTTGTTTTACCATTTACTTTGGGCTTTCATTTGCCTATAAAGGCATCGAAGACACTGGATGGCTGATGATCTCTTGCTATGGCAACAGAAATACTAAAAGGACACCCAGGATTTGGAGGTGCAATTATTTACATCAAAGGGCAATGATCAGGATCATTCCCATACTATCAGACCTTGAAGGCTCAGGGAGGGAGGTTTTTATGGGGTTGAAAGCAGAGTAGTTGGATGTCATTGATTGGTTCTTAAACTATGCATCACAGTGAGCAGCCATTTCTAAGAAACAAGGAACTGGCTGATGAGGGGGAGGGCAATTTTCTGCTACACTTCAATGTTTTAAAAATGCCAAGGGCATGGCACATTCCCTGGCCCTCAGCAGGAGCAGAGCTTGGCATTGCGGTGCTGAAAAGTGGGTTAGTGAGTAGAAGATGGGGCCATTTGGAGCCCTGTGGGATGGGGAGGATTGTGGTTTCATGCTAAAGATAGTGGGCTGCTGTTGGGTCATTAGGGTGGGCCTGGTGAGCACTTAATTGTTTTCCTTCTGGGTAGTGAGTGCCTTATGAGGCCAACTCTATCTGTGATGACAGGAGTGTGTAGTGTATCAGATCTGGACTCCCCTGGCTTCCTTACCCTAGGGTAAGGACACGTGAAGTTGGCTCCACCAGTCAGGTGCACCTACTGTGCTCTGAATGGGACCCTAGATGGGAAGAAGCAGGGGCTCCATAGGTTACAACTGGGTGGTGGCAGTGCCACCTCTTTCTTGCTCTGGTTGCACTATCTGCTTCTCACGTGGGTGGTACAAGCCACAGTGCTTGTTCCCAGTTGTGGGTGGTAGCCATAGGGGTGCCTTTGCCTGTACTGCACCATGGCTTGATTGGGGCCCTTGTTCTTTGCACAGTCACCAAGGCTGGTCTTGCAGCCTCCCCACACCGAAGAGACCCTCCTTTTGTTAACTCCCTTTGGGCTTTTGTCAGCTATAGTAAGATATGACTGCTAAAGATCCTGATGCTCCAGGGGTTCTCTCTGTTTCTGTCTTTCTCTTTTTTGTCTTTTTGAGACAGATCCTCACTATGTACTTCAGGCTGGCCTTGAGCTCACTTTGTAGTCCAGGCTGGTCTTGAACTCACAAGAGATCCTCCTGCCTCAGCCTCCCACTCAGGTTTTCTTGTGACATTTTTAGATAAGAGCGTAGCAGCTCCCAACAGCAGGCATCCCTGATGCAGCTCCTCGCCAGGGATTGCACTGATGCAGCCCAGGACTGATGCTTCCAAGGTTCCTGTCTCCCTGGAGCTATCTAAGCTTCAATTCTGTCTTCCTTAATGGCCCCATCTCAGAGCAGTCCTATCTCATAGCCCATTCCTGCCCCATCTTTCCCTCTTTCAGGGCCACAGTTGGGCCCTGGCCCCCAGCATTTTCTGTACCCTAACGCCACTTACTTCCCAGTAGCCTTCCACAGAAGCATTGCCACTTCACACCATTTCCTGTAGTCATAATATGGACCATTTGGAATAGTGCCCCATGCCCTTCAGTGTTTATAGAGCCAGTGTTGGCAGCATCTTGTAATTTGGTTGGTTATGTCAATCTAAAGACAAATCAGATATTTTTCCAAAGAGAAATGAGTACATTCAAGGATCCTGAGGCAAGGGGAAGTTTTTAAAGGTGAAAATGATGAGTATCACATATTTTGAAATAAAAGTCTTTGGCTACAATGATTAACACCTAGAGTAATGTCAGTCCTAGGTTGGATAGGCAGTTATGGGGAAGATGCCTTTGCAGAAGTACTTTTTTTTTTCTTTTTGGTACAATTGTAGTGGGTCCTATGTGAGCTTGTGATTCTGGCAGTCTTTAAGGATACATACCATCAGGCAGTCATGTGTAAGGACCCTTACTTCATAACCTTGCTGTTTTATGTTTTGTTAGGGTTGACATAACAATTCTAATTCTGATGAACCGTATTTTTTTTCACACTACCCAGAATTCAGTGATCCTCCCTCACTAGTTGCAGGTAGGTGGAAAGTAGAGGGGCTGTCATATCACTGAAGGTATAACAATCATTTCCACCACTTCACCTGGGGAGAGTTTCTATTATCTAAACCGTTGGATAGGTCTAGCAGCAGAGCCAATGACAAGTTTGTCATTTCAAGACTGGGGTCTCATCTATGCCCTAGATCACCCTTTCTGAGAAAAGTAAAAGCAACTCCTGTGTCTTCTTCTGGCTTTGCTCTGGAAGGCATTTGCACAGATGCCCCAAGGCTGGTGGAGACTGAAGATCTGCTGCCCTCCTGTGGCCCAGCAAGAGGCTGAATACGTGCAGGAGGCAGAGTGTCTTAGCTACTTTTCTCATTGGTGGGACAAAGTACCCAATGCCCAATATTAAAGATATGGAAGGTTTGGTTAGTGCACAGTTTGCAGAGGTTTCAGTGCATAGTCGGCTGGCTCCTCAGCTGTGTCGGGTGGCACGGCCGAGGGTGCGTCACGGAGGAGAAACAGTTTATGGTAGGAGGTGGTAGCAGCTGCAGCCTTCCTTCTGTCCCTTTGCACCCCCCATCCAGGCTCTGAGCCTATTGACCAGTCTCACCCACACCATTATCCATGCCCTTAATCCCAACATCGCACCCTTGATCCACATTCACCACCCTGATCCAGCTACCTTTGAAACGCCCCACCTATGACTGCATCAGGCTTTTTGGGGGGACATCTGGATACAAGCCATACCATAGGCCCAGGTGGGCAGGCCCTTAGCACTGGAAGATAAAGATGTGAGTTCTTCAGGGAAGAGAGCCTGGGTGGTTGGGCCTTGCCCCTTACCTCTTGGATCCGGGTGCTCTGGCTGAAGGCCAAGGGGGAGTAAGTCTGGTAGAGAACAAGCAGCAGGACACAATGCCCCTGCCTGAAAACCCTCGCAGCCATGCTTTGAACCCAGTGGCTTCCCTATTCCCCGTAGGCAGAAAGAGAAACACAGTTCGGGATCCAGCCCAGGGTGAGACACAAAAGAAAAGCCCGGCCAACCACGAGGCAGAGCAGACCCGTTGTTGCTGGGGCCCCATCACCATTCTACACTGTGTCCCATTCTTTGAAGCTCTTGGGACATGAACAAAACACAGGAAGCTTCAGGGATTGGGAGCACGCCTTGGCCATACCTTTCACACTTCCTCCTCATTCTCTCTGCTGTGAGCTCCTCTAGCACCCAAAGCCTACAGTGGTCTGGCTTCTTGTTCCTCCAGCAGTGTCTCCACTGCACCTGCCCAGCCCTGGTCACTGACAGTGCCAGAGACAGGACTGGTATGGGCCCTAGGGCTGTGGCTCAGGGAGGGTAAAACCCCAAACCTGCTGATCGGATGGCGATCCTTGAGGTATAGAGCTTCCAGGTGCCCTCCTAGCCCTGTGCCCTCCTCTTGCCGGCTTATCTTGTGGCCCCAGAGAAGAGCACTGTATTCAGCAAATGGTCACAGAGAGATCTCTGCTCTGAGGCCATGATCAGTGAAAGGAAGGCTGCTTGGTGAACTGACACAGTATGTTCCTCCTATGGGCACTTCCAAATTGGCCCCAAGCAGGTCCCCCAAAGGGTAAGTAAACAGGAGTTCAGGCTCAGGGTGGCTTGACAGCTGCCTGTCACCCCCAGGGACCACCTTGCAGACCCCCAGAGCTCATGTCCTGCTGGAGGTGTAGGGCTGGAAGAGTCCCTGAGCCACATTCCTGGGATAAGCAAGTTCCCCCATCACTGTTGCATTGCAGATGTACTGGACTTGGCTAGGCCGTGGGTAACTTTTCTTTGTCCTTTTTCATTTTTATCGGTACCAGGGATCGAACTCACGACTGCCTGCTTGCAAGGCAGGCGCTTATGCCGCTGAGCTAAATCTCCAGCCCGCCGTGGGTAACTTTTCAAAAAGGCCACATGAAGCCAAGCATGAGGTGCCTCCCAGGGCTGCTCTCTGGCATTTGCTGTCAGCTGAGGTGCAGGTGGCATGCTCAGGGAGGCCACAGGAAAATTTTGGATGAAGCAGAAGCCAATTTTTCTTTGTTTTTATTTTGGTTACCGTGTAGAAGTTAGCTCAAGCCAAGAACCTCTGCAGCTTGAGTG